GCTAGGACTAATTGTTTCGATGAATTTTGGGTTTCTTCATTCTTCTTTGCTCTGGATGAGGAGAGACCCATCATTGCATCTAGATGACAGCTTGCTAGCTTTTAAGATCCCAGTCGCTACTCACCAAAGTAGGAGGTGGAACAATGTTTTGTATAGTATGTTATCAGGCCACATTTCTAATAAATGTAAATGCAAAATTATCATTAAGTTACAAGTAAACTAAATTAAAAAACAAATTTAAAAGGTTATACACTATGATCAAGAGGGATTTATCCCAGGAATGCAAGAGTAGTTCGACATGAGAAAATCAATCAATGTAATATACCACATTCATACAGCAAAAGGAAAGAACTACATGATGATTTCAATTGATACAGAAAGGCATTTGTCAAAATTCACCACCCTTTCTTGATAAAACCATTCAGCAAGATAGGAGTAGAATGGAAATTCCTCATCATAATAAAGGGCATTTATGAAAGACTTACAAATAATATCATACTCAATAGAGACAGACTGAGAGCCATTAATCTCAAGATCAAGGCAGAAATGCCAATACTCACCACTACTATTTAACATAATTCTGTAAGTCCTAGTCACAGCAATTAGGCTAAACAAAAAACAAAAAACAAAGTATACAAATCAGGAAGTAGGAAATAAAACTCTCTTTTTTCACAAATAACAAAAATTTATATATAGAAAAATCTCACAGAATCCACAAAAAAAGTTGTTAGAGCTAGCAATGAATTCAGCAATGTGGCAGGGTACAAGGTTGGCAAAAAAAATAAAAAGAAAAAATCAATCAGGTTTCTATACAGCCACAACGAGCAAGCTGAAAAATAAATTAGGGAAATATTATGTACAATAACAACCAAAAGAATAGAAATACCTACGAAGTAATTTAACTAGGAAGACTTGTACACAGAAAACTACAAAATATTAATAAAAGTAATCAAAGAAGATATAATAAATGGCAATTTAGTCCATATTAATGGATTAGAAGGCTTTGTGGTTGTTGTTGGGTGACATTGCATCAGCTACAGCTCACATTGACCCTATGTACAATGGTACAGGCCAGATTCAGAAGAGGATGTGGAACAAAGGATATCATTACTGATGTCAGATGGATCTTGGCTCAAAGCAAAGAATACCAGAAAGATGTTTACTTATGTTTTACTGACTATATAAAAGTATTTGATTGTGTGGGTCATAACAAATTGTGGATAACTTTGAGAAGAATGGGAATTCAATAACACTTAATTGAACTCATGAGGAACCTGTACATAGACCAGGAGGCTGTTGTTCAAACAGAACATGGGGACACTGCATGGTTAAAAATCAAGAAGGAAGTGCATCAGGGTTGTATCCTATCACCATCCTAATTCAATCTATATGCTGAGCAAATAATCCAAGAAGCTGGATTATATGAAGAATGTGACATCAAGTTTGGAGGAAGAATCATTAACAACTTTGATACACTGATGACACAACTTTGCTTGCTGAAAGTGAGGATGACTTGACGTGCTTACTGATGAAGATGGAAGAATACAGTCTGCAGTATGGATTACATCTCAATATAAAGAAAACAAAAATTCTCACAATTGGACGTATAAGCAGCATCATGATAAATGGAGAAGATTGAAGTTGTGAAAGACTTCACATTGCTTGGTTCTATAATCAACACCAATGGAAGCAGCAGTCATGACATCAGATGATGTATAACACTGGGCAAGTCAGCTGCAAAGGACCTCTTTCAAGTGCTGAGGAGCAAAGATGTCTCCTTGAGAACTAAAGTGTGCCTGACACCAGCCATGATATTTTCAATCACCTCATATGCATGTGACAGCTGGACAATGAATAAGGAAGAACAAGAAGAATTGATGCTTTTGAGATGTGGTGCTGGCAAAGAATGCTGAAAATACCATGGACTTCTAAAAGAACTGACAAATCTATCCTGGAGTAAGTGCAGCCAGAATGCTCCTTGGAAGTGAGAATGGCCGGACTTGGTATCATCTACTTTGGTCATGTTGTCAGAAGGCACTATTC